CATTAGTTAAAGAACCAATTTGGTTATTTCAAACTATTGAAAGGTTACTTAATATATATTTTTTAATTGATGATGTTTATTTTTTTTTTATCAATACGAACATTATTTTAGATATCTATTGGATTTACCAACAGATATATATAAATTTGAAATTGAAGATGATCGAGAAATATTTCAAGAACTTCGATCTGTATGTAATTTTACTGAAGAATTCGACGAATTAAAGTAATTAAAATTTTTGTTTTTTTTTTTGATACCAGAAATGTCTCAAAAGTCACCTACAATAAAAAAAAAAGAGAATTTGAATTAACTAAATCAGCTAATTTATTTTTTTTTCTCTGATGATACAGAAAAAGATTCAAGTTTTTATTTATATAATAGTCATTCGATAAGATTTGAAAACTTTTGTATCTAGAAGAGACTACACCCAAAGACCCTGAAGTTTTCTATACACGTTCGTCTCCATGAGAGTTTTGTGTGAATTAAATTTCAAACCAGAATTCGATAATAAAATTCGAGTAGCGGAGTCAAACTTCTATGAGTTTCCGAATTCATTAATTTAAATTTTCAGTTACAATCTATAACTATTCGTTTTTTTTTATCCTCGTTCCAATCAAAAAAAGATTTGACTCCAGTCACACAAAATAAATTAGTGGTTTTCTACTAATTATTTGCGATTCCTTCTCATAAATCGAAAAAAAAACGAATTAACTGATTTAGATAAAGTACAATGAAGAAATTTAAATTATTTTTATAGAAGATGACGTACAGTAGATTATTTTGCTTTGTTTAGAAAAATTTTAGCAACTGTTCAAAGTCCTGTATGTTTTACTCATAATGATTTTCAACCGGGAAATATTCTTCGTTTAAAATCTCAAACAGAAAATTTTACAGTTATTGATTTTGAATATTGTTCATATAATTATCGGTAAGACAAAAAACAAATAGTACTATAAAAAAAAAAGAGAACGATTTTATATCTTTAGTGGATTTGATATTGGAAATCATTTTTGTGAATTTATGTTCGATTATAAATCATCAAAAGAATGGCCATTCTTTAATGTTGATTTTGCTCTTTATCCAAATAAAACACAACAAGTAAAAATTTCTAATTGATTTTTTTATCTAACAAATAAATAAATATTTATTTCTAGATTAATTTTCTATCATCATATGTTGATGTAATGATTTCTTCAACAGAAAATTCATCTGTTCTTCAAACAAATGGAACAACTAATGAAACATTATCTTCAATAGATAATAGTAATAATAATAATCGAGAAGAATTAATAAATCAATTAATGAAAGAAGCTAATTATTTTGCATTAGCTTCACATTTTTTTTGGGCATTATGGTCTATTAATATGGCAACATCAACTACAATTAAATTTGGTTATATGGTATGAAAATATTGAATAAAAAAAAAAAAAAATTTATTTTAATGAAAAAAATATTTTAGGAATATGCTCGAACTCGTCTTACTGCATATTATGTAACACGTAATTTACTTCTTGATAATAATGAAATACCACCATGTCTTAATGAAGATGTACTTCGATCAGAAAAAAATCCATTTAAAAATTCGTATATAACAATAGATAACGAAGAAAAATCGGATTAATTTTTTTTTTTTTGTTTTTCGTTTGATATTTTTCATGCTACAAAAATAATATCGGTTTTGTTATTTACATTTTTTTTTACCATTGAAATCCTTGTTTTTGTTTGTTTGTTTTTCTTTTTTTTTCTTCATTAAAACTTGATATTTTAATTAAGTTTTCAATATATTGCGTGCTTAACTGGCTTTTTTTTTCTTTTAATTTTAGCATTAAACAAAATATAAAAATTTTATGATGATAATGTTGAATATCTTTTATATTATAGCTTGGCCATGAAAACAAAAGGATGAATGTATATAGATATATAAATGACCCTGGCTGACGATCATCAAAACAATAAATAATGGCCTTTATAAATAGTAATAGCGTTATAACACTGTCTGTCCTTCTTTCCTTTCTCCTGTATTGATGTCGTTAACTTGTTCTCTATATATAAGAGTTTTATTACAAGGTACTCATTTACAAACAGTACATTTTTACAACTGGGACAAGAAATATTATTCTCATTAGTAGTAGTAAGTGTAGAGCATTTGTAAAATAATACAAAATTGAACAAATTATTAATGATATATTCATTCTTTTTTTTTTCTTCTTCACATTTTATATGAAACATAGAAGAAAACTGTAATTAGACAATCAAAGTAATTTTTACATTCGATTGATTGATAATTTCATAGATGATCTTTCCATCATCAATTTTATTATCATCTAGTATAAAACTTTATGTTCAAAAATATATTTAGTGGAAAAATTTTCTTTTTATACTTTTGTTGTTTTTATCAAACATTGTACCTATGATAGATTTCTTTTTTTTTCTCTCTGAAATCTCTCGTTTTCTTTTTGTTATCGGCAAAGAACCACAAATGAGAAGAAAGCAAAAAAAAAAAGAAATTACTTATAACTATGTTATAACTACATAGTTTTATTTTTCTTTGTACATATTTATTTGTCTGTATGTATTTATGCATATCCTTTCCTATGACACAAAATAAAAGGCTTGTGCATTGTGTATTGATATCCAAGTGTATATTTTTCTTATGACTGATTACAACTTGTATATAACTCATGAAATGATATCGCATCAATCAATTTTCTCTCTGCATGTAATAAGGTAGCATCACGACCTTAACATTATTACATACAGATGTTTATTCTCCTTTTCTTTTTTTTTTGATATTGTTATTATCATTTATCTATTAATTTCAGATGCATGGTTGTGCATCATTGAATGAGCTGACTTTTCCATATCGATTGGAGTAAATGCTTATCTATTGCTTCTATGTATATAATGATAAATGGAATATAAAAATCACTTTCATATTCTTTATTTTTATTATTAGTGTATATATTTTAATTTATTTTTATTCTAGATTTTTTTCCTTTTCGATTTAATAATGGAAAGTAATGAACGATCTATAACAGATTTCGATTCAGAAAATAAAGTAATTGTTTTTTTTTGTGTTTTAATTTTATTAATATTTATAATTTTTAAATATTTTTGTTAAAGATTCTTCTAGAACCATATGAATATATACGTACAATACCTGGTAAACAAATTCGACCAAAATTAATTAAAGTAAGAAAACAAAATTCATCCTTGACGGTTTTTTTTTCCTATGTTTTTCATTTAGGCCTTCAATTTTTGGTTAAATATACCTGAAGAAAAACTTCTTATAATTGGTAATCTTATTGAAATGCTTCATAATGCATCTTTACTTATTGATGATATTCAAGATAATTCTAAATTACGTCGTGGTGTACCTGTTGCTCATAATATTTATGGTGTTCCATTAACAATAAATGCTGCTAATTATATTTATTTCTTAGCTATGCAAAAAGCTCTTACATTACGACATCCTGATGTTACACAAATATTTGTTGGTTTGTTTAGAAAAAGAAAATTCTCTATATATAGAATTATAAGAAAAATAAACAATTTCTTTTTTTTTTCTCTCTCTCTCTCTCTTTCTAGAGCAAATGTTAGATTTACATCATGGACAAGGTATGGAAATATGGTGGCGTGATAATTTTGTATCACCATCTGAAAATGAATATCGTCAAATGGTTTTAAAAAAATGTGGTGGTTTATTTAATTTAGGTGTACGTCTTATGCAATTATTTACAACAATTGAATTACGTCATAAATATAAATTTGATAGATTATGTCAATTATTATCATTACTTTTTCAAATACGTGATGATTATTGTAATTTAATATCAAAAGAATATATAAATAATAAATCATATTGTGAAGATTTAACAGAAGGAAAATTTTCATTTCCTATTTTACATGCTATTAATACACATGATACAGATACACGTATTATACATATACTTAAACAACGTACACAAGATTTAGATTTAAAACGTTATTTTGTACAATTATTATATGAATTTGGTTCAATGGAATATACACGTCAAATATGTCAGGAGTTAGCAAAACAAATATTTGATGAAATTCATCTACTTGGTGGAAATAATTATTTAGATAATATTGTTCAAAATTTAATGGAAGTATTTCATAATGATAATGATAGTGAAAATCAACAAGATCTTGATAATGGTGATAAACATGTTACTAATCACAATGGTGAAAATAATTCAGAACAATATGAACAAAATAATAAAATTTATAAGAAGAATATGGCTTATAATGATCGACAATATCAAATGTAATTATGTATTAGGGCTATTGACTACATAGAAAATAATGTATTTCATAGTGAAAATAGGTGTTACTGAATTTTTGCTAGTCATCTTGTTCTTTCATATATTTCGGTTTTGTTTTTTAATAGTTGATCTAATGTTTATTTTTATTAATACAACTTTATTTAAAAATAACGAAGAACTTTAGAATTATAAAACAAGAAAAATAATCGATTAATATTATTCATGATGTTATATATTACCAGTGATCATTATGAAAACTTATTTATAATAATCAATAATTAGAAAATGGCATTGGACGTTTTAGTTTTTCTTTTTTCTTTTCTAAATAAAGACACATCTATATTTATCGAGTTTCTCTTTCACTCATATTTTTACTTCTACTGTCTCTGTTTGTGCGTGTTTGATGAAAGGTTTTTATTTTCTTTTTTTTTTTTATTTGACTAGTTGATGTCCTTGCACTAGGTCAATATAAGAAAGGTGAGTTGTGTATACAAGAATGATTTCAGTTTTTAGTTCGTTTTATTAAAGAACTATTTAGCAATTTTAACTTTTACGCTAATTACATTTGTTGTTAATATTAATTAATCTGAATTTTTGTTTTTTTTTTTGACAAAGAAATAAATATCTTTATCTAATATAAGTCGTATTTTTATTATTATTTTTTGTAATAAAACATATATATAATTAGTTTCAATAATTATTTTATTTGAAAATTTTAAAAATAAAATATATAAATTTTTCATTAAAGAACAATAGATATCATAGAATAATAAATGATATTTTAAAAAGTAAATAGAAAAAGAAAGATAGGATGAGGAGATTGACATTCAATTTGAAGATCAAGCCGTCATTTTCATTGAATCAATGTTACCTTTTTTTTCTGTTATGTAGATGATATTTGGAATCAATGAAGAAGAAAAATATTGTTTAATCATTTTTTTGTATGCCAATATAACAAAAAAAAAAAACATTTTTTTTTAAAGGCACATGTTAGTCTTCTCAATATTAGTTTCTAGCGCTTATTATTGATGATAGTAATTCGAAATTGGAACATAAATCAGATTCATACTGTCTTTCATTTGATGAATAATTAGTATTGGTATTTTTTGAAAGTAGTTCTGTTTTTTGTTTATCAAAACTTATGAGGGGAACATTCCCAATCATCTAATTATTATTCACTTGAGCATATTATCATTTGATTGGCCATAATGAATAGTGAAAATCTTTTTTTTTATTTAATTTTTCGATCTTCTCTTGTTCAATTATTGGCATTTTACTTAACTTTTGCCTCTATGACCGTGTAGGGTCATTGAGAACTTGAATGATCGAATTTCGAGCTGAAATTTTATTCATAAGTACGCCTTATAGTCTGTAGAAAGAGCCCAAAGTTTGAACCAGAACGAACAAATCCTTGTTAAGATAATTCGATTTAAAGACATCCTTGTTTTGCACTGTGTTTCAAAAGAAAGATGATGTTTCTATGACAAACTGATATCTCAATATGGATACGTTTGTCCTAACTCAAACTTTAAGGCATTCTAGTGACTATAGAACCTATCTACGGATAAAATTTGTTCATTCAGGTTCTCAGTGATCCTATACTCATAACTCAACAAGCAAAGACGGAAAAACTAAACCAAACAAAACTTTTTTTACTATTCATTATGACTGATCGAATGGCAATAGTTTCAAACGACAAGTGATTGAACAGTTGCGAATATTGTCTGATGAGTGATAGATTACTACAGATAAGCAACTTGTGAAGATTAAAAACCTAATCCTGCATATTCAACGATCATGACCAAGTCTTAGGAAATGTCATTTTCTTAAATTACTACTAGATATGGACAAGATAATCTCAATATCAGAGGAACCGAAGGTTAAAAACGACTGATCTCGTTCAAGTCTAATTCCAATATCTGTATCTTCCCTGAATGATAAAAAAAAACTCTCTGAAATTTTTTGATTATAGATAAAAATCATTTAGATCTACTACCAGTAAAAATTTCGTTGATTCTTATTTTTCGAAATGAAATGAAGTATAAATAAACGTTCTGTATAAAAGTTGTTCAACTTTGAAGAAGTTTTTAATCCAAACAAAAAAATTTTTTTGACCGAAAAAATTTCCGAGATAAACCACAGTTGCGATTTTAATAAACTAAATACTCAATTTTATTCAAAATTCGATAGTAATCTCAACTATATATATAATTTGAAATAAGAATAGCAGACAATAAATTTACATAATATTAACAAGGAAACTCTCAAGATGTTAAATCGCTTTTCGACTGAAATGATGTTCATTTGATGAGTAATATAAAATATCTCACAATAGGAAATACTGGAAAAGTTAGAATTTGTCCAATGAACTAACCTCATTAAGAACTTTGTTCGTGCAACTCGATTTTTCATATGATCATAGCTTTTCATTGAAAAGCTCAGGAAAATTCGGAAAACTTAACCATTCTAGTAAATGCACATGATCTCGGTTGAAAAGTGATTTGACACCAGGAGAGGTTCTTCTTCGTTAGTTTAATTTACTCTTGAATGTTCGAAGTGAATAACTGATAGTTGATTCCTGGTGTAATATTTTTTTCTGATTTTTTTTTTAGTATTTATCAAACTAAATTAAAGTATATTTTATTCATTTAATTATGGACGAAGATGCACAATTTTTAAATGATTTTCAAACGAGAGTTTTACCATTTGAACAATGGACACATCGAGCTCATATTCGTATGGCTTATTTAGTTTGTAAATCATCGAATAATTTCGAAGAAGGTCTATTGAAAATTCGACAAGGTATACAAAATTTTAATAGTTTACATGCATCAAAACTTAAAGTTGGTTTTCATGAAACAATGACACAATTTTGGACGGCAATGGTATGGAATGCAATACAAAAATGTGATTCATCTATTTTAAATTCTAATGATTTTATTGATCGAAATAATCATTTATTAGATTCATCATTATGGAAACAATATTATTCACCAACACTTATGTTTTCACCAGATGCAAAACGTAATTTTACACCTCCTGATTTGAAACCAATTTCAATTGATGCTTTACATACTACAAACTAATAAATATCAATAGTATCTATTAACATTATATGATACATATAATTTTACAAAATGAAATGATAAACGATAATTAATAATAAAATCCTTCTTATAGAAAAATATGATTGAAATCAATTCTTTCTATATTTAGCATTTATTCCGAGAGATACTAGTCAATATTAAATCTTGGAAAATAATTTAACATTACTGTACTATTTTTGACAAAGGTAGAATTCAGATGGCTGGATATTGTCTTGTAGCTTCGATCAGTGAAGGAGCTCAACTCGACCCCCTGCCTTGATTATGCTACTAATAGTCCGGAACATTTTCTATTTAAATATGAAATAATGATCGAAAAAATGTTCAAAAAAAACTTCACTCAAGATTGACTAGTTTCCAATTTATAAGATAATATCATATGTGTAAATTATTTTAATGATCATTGAATTTAAGGGTACTTGTAAAAACTGCGGTTACTCATGGCTACTTTGCTTTTTAATTATACAAGATATTTTGACAAATATAAGATAACTATCATTATCTTTTACATTTTAAAACTAAGACTGGCTTCCTAATTCGCTTCTTTTTTTGGGAAAAACTAAATGTTAAAGGAAAATAGTCGATAATGTTGACTTCTTTGAGTAAATCAATATACTTTTAATCAATAAGATCAATAACAAGGTTGAAAATTGACCTTGAGTACGTTTTGAGACAATCAAATAGACATTAATTCCAATTCGAAATATTTCTTAGTAAATTATTTTGATTTTGTATTTGATCCTATTAACTAAAATATTAATATTTATTAAAGTCAAAATTTAGAAATACTAAAAGAAAAATTAGATGCTTGAGTGGAACAACAAGACAGCTTCGAATATGAACTTAAACACAATTTTCAATAATTGAAATTCAAGAATTCCGACTGCGAAATCTACCGGATGGGAGAATTGTTTCCAAGACGTAGTCAGTTAGCAAAACAATAAAATACGATTTTTCCCGATAAGATTCTGAAAATTTCGTCAGACAAAAAATTTTCTTAAGTGCCCGTTCGCATCCAGCAGTAGGAGATTAGTTAGTAATAACCTCTAACAAATTTTGTAAAAATTCACCGCATAATGTAACTTTAAAGAAGTACAGTTTTCCTACTTGTAAAGGAATTTTATGAAAAAAATCATCAAAACTGAATTATAGTGTACTCATGATTCAAATTTTTTTCAAGTACAAATTTTCTTGTATATTACTCAATTCGAATTAAATTCCGAGTTCTATTAAGTTTTTATAATTGATCAGAATTAGTATTGTTGTGTTTCGAGAAAGGAGTTCCGATAATGTAGTAGAAATTCTTGTCACAACTTTGAACGTATTCTGAATATTCAGTGGTTTTCTTTTTCTTTGTCGACGAGTATTCGAGTAAAGTGATATTTAAAGTCAAGTACTTTTGAAGTAGACTCTGCCCTTTGTATCTGTTTTTTGTAGTTCTCTTTTTCTGAGCTCGATAGAAAAAAGCACGACTGCAAATGTCAATAACTGAAAATCGTTTTCATCTTTCGAGTCTTTATTGAATCCAGATTAACAGCGCTGTAATTTATTGACTTTTGAACCTTGTGGTAGCCTTTGTTTGCATTTCAGAAGCGAAAAACTTCGCCTCTTTTTTTCTTTTTCTATAGAATGTCGATGGGATGTCAGCTAAGAGTAACTCTGAATGTCCATGTGGTCAGCAATTTTTACACGCACCCAAAACTAACCCTGGATTATCTTGATATTTAATTGTAAAATATATTCTACAAGTTAAAGTCAAAGTAATCATGGGTATCCGTGTCTATAGAATAGATTATATTCCAGTTGAAAATAAAAAGCACAGCCTTGAATAGCTATCCACACGTTTTATAGCTGCCCTGGAAATTATATTCGAAGCAAAAAATCGAAGAGATTTCATTAGAGATTAAATGTCACAGTAAAAAGTTCGACAATGTGATTAACTGGACAAAATATATCAATGTTTTCATATCGTTGATACATTCAAAAAGATCTTATTCATATAAATAAAAAAAAGATATAAGTTTATACAAACGAATTAAAATACATTCATAAATTTTCTTGTCTCTTAATCATTCTAGTCAAAATTTCAAATATTACGACAAGATCTTTCCTTTTAAATGTTCAGTATCAGTGATAATTTATTCAGAGTTGTTTTCAATAAAGAGCTTAATAACAATCAGAAATTCAATTCTAGTTACAAAAAAACAAGAAATAATTGCATAAAAAATATGGAAAGCAAATAATATATATACATGTCCTATGGACATTTAATATTATGTATCCAACTCATCCAAACATTTAAATTTGTTTGTTTACATTGTGTAAATACTTTTACATCACTATGATGACATTCAATTTTTGGATTGTACCATGATGAAAAATTAAGTCGTTCATATATCGATAATGGAGTTTCATATGCCATTTGACATAAAGGACATAAAAGACTCATCCATGTTTCAGGAATTCTTAATTCAATTTTTGTATATTCTCGCCATTGAAGATATTCAAGATATTTTTCAGGATTATTAATAAGATAATTAAGATATTTAGCAAGATCTTCAGGTGTTTTATAATTATTAACATGAATATGAGATTGTTTAGGTGCTATACGTTTATAATCATTTTCATTTGCACCCATAACAATTGGTACAAGACGATGTGTATTATCAGAAATAATATTCCAAAATTTTTCTGTTATATATGAATTACAACGAGAATTTTCAAATGCTAAATAAAAATAATATTCATGAAGATTAATATCACATTGATGTTTATTTTCTTTTGAACATAATTTACCACATTTACCATAAATATCAATATGAATAAAATTTTTTAATTTTTCAACATATTTTTCACGTTGTGAAAATGTTATACAATTAGATACAATCCATGCAATAGGTTTTTTTTTTAATTTTAAACTTTTAATATTCAATTGTCGTTCATATTGTATTTCATGTGTATATGATAATGATAAATTTGATTTTATTTCATTAGATAATATTCGAGATTCTACTATTGGTGTAAATATTGTAAATGGTGATTCATATTTATATGATATTGCTCTATCGAAATATTGATCTAATATTTGTGGATAAAATGATGGATTTTGATAATAAAAATTAATTGGACTTTCACCTGTAATAAATATCCAATTTTGATTATCAGTTTGTAATTGTTTTCTTTGCGGTAGTTCATTTCTATTTATATCATATAGATGCAATGCAACGAGGGATGCTTGAGATAATTTACTTTTATCACGTGTAAATTGACATTGATGTATCGGTGAACAAGAAATAATTCTAGATAAATTAAACAATGATTCCTGATGCCAATAATAATCAGTAAATAGACTAGTCCAAAGAAGTACAAGACGATAAGATTGATGTTTAAATTTTTGAATAGGTATGGAAATAGTTGTATTTATATAAAAAATATCAGTAGAAAAAACTTTACTAGATTGATTTTGATTATTATCAACCGTATACAAAAACAAGAATATTAATATAAGAAAAAATATTATAGCACGAAAACCTCGTATTTGACATTTTTTAAACATAATAATTAAATATTGAGTACGTAAACATATAAAACGAATAAAATTTATCTGATATACTATGAATAAAATTTAATAGATTATTTTGCTTTAATATCATTTATTAAACTTACATCTTTTGTAACAAATAAAATGAATCATCTTAAATAAAAGAAGAAAACAAAATAATATATATATATATATAGTTTTCTTTATTTTCTTTAATTATTTATTTCAAATCAAAATATTCGCATTTTATTTTCTTTCAACAATGAATTTTTATTCTGATAATGAATAATGACAAAATAGATTTATTTTTTTTTATTTCATTGATGATGCACTATTACCACTAGCTGTTTCTCGTTCTTTATGTACGACAACACCACGAGCAATTAAATCTGGTATTTCAACAGCCAACCAAGGACCAAGCTATTTCAAATAAAAAACAAAGATCAATATTTACATATGTAATTATATGTATTTTAACTTACACCAAGGGCTAGTGCATGTGCAATACCAAAACGTGGTACATTTCGAGCCCATAATGGTTGAAAATGATCAGTCATACAAATTTTTCCTCCACTAAAAAAAAAAACAAACAATAATAAAAAATTCGAAATTAATTTATTTGATGATGATACTTACCGATACATTTTTGCCGTTTTTCCATCAAGATCTGGTATTGCAATTTCAGGTGCTGTCATTGGATATGTAACAGGTATCTATTTATAAAAGAAAATGAAATAATAATAAAAGAAAATTTTGATTAAATTTACATCAAATTCAATATCAAATTCATAACGTAACATATCTTGAATTGTCCATGCTTTTCCCCACCAACGAGTTCCTTCTTGATTTGATTCAAGACGAAACCAGTCATTATCAGCATCCTTGTTATTTTTAACATACTAAAATCACGATACACTTGTTTATATTTAGCTAACGAAACTAATAATTCAAATGTAAATCACTGTTTGAGCTCATATTAGATCTACAAAGAAGTCTGAGAGTCAGGTCTAAAAGAATTCGTCCCTATGGACATTTAAAACTGAATTATACTGAAAAAATCAAATAATGGATTTTCAACTTGAGATTTTGTCCATAGATAGAACTAATGAGGCTTAGAATATTCTAAAAAGAATAATCCTATGTTAAGATATTGTATTTTCAAACTGGATTTTTTGGTAATTCAATATCTCGACAACAGAATTCAGTACAATAGCCATAACTCGATTTCAAAAATCCATCAAAACGAACTCTTTTAGACTTTTTCTAGTCTTACTTAAACTTCCTTACAGACCATATATGAGCTGAAAAGATGAGTTATTCGTTTGTAAAATAAATCTTTACTTGTATTAATGCTTGAAGTTCTTCTTTCAGTCTTTGTCGCCATTGTTCACCATCACGTGGACTTGCTTTAGTTTTTAATAATGGAATATTTGATAAAGTCTTTTTTGTTACTTCGTCAACCATCTGAAAAATATGAAATTGTACAAACTCGAAAATATATATTTATTGCATTCAAATAGAAATAATATATTTTATTTCATAAAAATTTTACACCATCAGCACCATTTTCAGAAAATATAATAGCTTGATCACGTTTTTCAAGTTCATTTAGAATACGACGAAAAAGTTTCGAATCAATATTATGAAATTCTATAAATAGGAAAATATTCTAGACAAAAAAAAACAAGACATTTTTTTTGTTAATATAAAATTTATACCAGCTGAACGTGTATCATCACTATGTAATAATTCATAGAATGTACAAACAGTTCCATTCATACCTCGTGATGTTATCTTTAATAAGAAAAAAATAAAAATAAAGAATATAGAAAAAATAAATAAATAATTTACCCATTGATAAAATGTTTTAGCCCATTCTTCAGGTGATTTCCAAAAGATTAAACAACGTCGTTTATTTTTATCTTCCCATTCAATATGACCTAAAATTTATTTAATAGAAAAATGATAGATTTTGTTTTTGAAATTTTATTCTACCTCGAATACGTAATTCTTCAAGTAAAATATGAATAAAATTATTATCTAATTGACCTAAAAAATAATATCAAATAGAATTTAATATAAAATTCGTAATTAGTAACACATACGATGAATTTTTGCATTAAAAAATGGTGGAAATTTACTAGCATCATTTACATCAAATGTACAAATCTTTTTCAAACGACAATAATCTACTATAAGTGAACACCAAGCATCAATTTGTTTACGACGCGTATCTAGATTTGATTGAAGACTTAAAAAGAAAAATTAGAATCTTCAGTAAATAAAGGCACTTTTTGTTTCATGCGTGCTTAACTATTATCAATTCATTTCTGAATGATTGTTCTCAAACTCTTGATTCTGATATTATTTTGCAAAAAGACTTAATTTTCATGTCGCTAAAAGATGGACTTATAACTCTTAAACTAGAAGACCTAGAGAAATATATTCCTAGATTGTTTCATTCAAGAGTTCTAAGATTTTTCCTGAGATCTTTGATTTCAGCCAATTCACCTATATGATCATTAGTCAATTGATTTGCAATCAGAGTTCTCAGGAAAAGTCCTATAGCTCTCGAATGAAACTAGCTTGGCCAGTCGTCGACTAAGCAAATTTCTGTATACTTTGATAGTTCTGAGTCTTCCTAACGCTCTAGCTCTTCCTGTTCTTGCAAAAACACACACAGTCATTATATTTTTGGACACGCGATGTTAATAAAAACATTTTCCGGATTTAATTTCATTACAAAAACTCATTCGCTATCACATAAGATAAATCTGAATAGTTTAATCTTTTTTCAAATATTATCTACTCACGTAAAAAATGGTGGAAAATCATGATACCATGATATATCAGAAATTTTAGTTGATGTCATTCTCTTTTTCTATTCTAAGAAAATCTACAAGAGAGAAAAAAAAACAAATAACAATCGATAATTGTTTATTAATGATAATTTTTCTTTTTTTTTTCTTAATAACGAAAAACAAAAACAAAAAAACATTTTATGTTAATGCATCTTCATTTCGAAGAAATTCACCAACATCTGCTTGATGAAAAACTACTAAAGCCATTGGATCAGTTGCTCGACATTCAATTGTTGATTTCGCTGCTACACCAAATCCCTACACACAAGAAAAAAAAATATATATAATCAACTAATAAAAACAAAATTTCATACTTACTAATGGTACATCATTCATTGTATAGACAATAACACCATGATATTTTGGTGTATTTTCTGTGATGCGTCCTAGACCGGATTTAACAACATTATGTCCATAAAGAAATTGTTGTTCAGCATTTGGTTTAAGCCATACTTTATACTGTATTCATAAAACATATTTAAAAAAACAAAAAAGCAAAAAAATCATTTTTTGTTACTTTTGCATATGGAGCAATAAAATCAAGTGCTGTTATATGTAAACGAAATTTACGTGTTTTAGTAAAACGACCAAAACAAGTACCAAAACTAAGTAATTCTTTTCGAGGAAAATTACTTGCATATTTTATAATCGCTTCACTAAAGAATAACAAAAAAAAAAAAAAACTTTTGTATATTTTTTTTTAATATTTATTCAATTTAAACCTGCAATAATAAACCCGTTCACGATGTAAACGAAATGTATAAAGTCCATCAGGACGTTCTAATAACATGCGAACATTATCACCAATACTAAATTTTTCAAAGTTTTTTTTTTCTTATATAGAATATATATATAATGTCTCACTTACTATTTTGAAAGTTTTTCAAATAAAATTTTTGTTTCATCGTCAGTTAATGGACGCATATTAAATTTGATCTAAATATTAGAAATGACAAATTTCTTTACTATTCTAATTAGGAAGCTATTGGTCCTGCCGGCTCGAATGTAAAGTGTTTTTATTTTCAGAGAGTGGTGAATAAATCGCTAAAATCTTGATCTTCTACTTATTCATATATATGAAGGGTGACACGTATTAATGGAAAAAACCTCGGGTTTGAATCCGAATCCACAAAAACGTAGACTCGCACCTTTCTAATTCTGATAGTTTTCATTAATAAGATATGCATAAGAAAATCTTATTTAATTCGATACTATCATGATACAGTTTCTCATATAACAAAATGATGTGAGTAAGATTTTTCGTGATTGTTCACTTACTGAATCTTGCCAATATGTCTTTTGCAATTAAGCAAAAAAAATGCTATTTGTAATAGATTACAGTAAATGAGTAATGAGAGAATCAATAACAAAAATTTCAGTATCTGACTTCCTCTTTCGATCAATAGAGTCGAAAATTTTCTCACTCGAACTCAATTGATTAAACTTTTCAATACAAACTAGAGATGTACGAGACCACTAGCAAAATATTGTCGAATATAAAAAGGTTGATCTCGCAAATTTTCTAATCCGAACTTTGTAATCACTTCGAAAGTGTGAGATTTTTGAGATATATGATAGGACTAAATTAATCGATTTCGAAATAAACCAAAAGATAAATTCAATTGATTATATTTTCAACTAATACAATTAATTTCCCTTAACAATAGATGTCACCTATAAAAATATTAATAAATTCAATAAATCTATTTTCTAAATAAATAATCTATTTCAATTTTTGATAATTTATTTCTTATAAAATTTTTCATAAAATTTCTTCATATTGAAGGTTATATTCATAGATAATGGCCGAATGATATATTAAGAGTTTATTACGTGACTCTAAAATTGTTGTGTGATATACATAAAGATCGTATTATTCAAAAATAAGAATGCAGTCATTACTGCATCTTACTTTTATTTTATCACTTATTTCTTTGGTGAGTTATGAATTATAACATCATATTCAATAGATTTTACTTTATTTTTTTTTGATCTTTCTAGACTAATGCTGTCGTTCTCAAAACACCTATGAATAATAATTATCCTCAAATAGCTGTTCTAGGTTGCGATAGTCGTAAAGCTAATTTGTATTATGATATTGATCGACAAGTTTGGATTGAACATTTAATTAGTTCATGTGTACATAATGAACAAAGTATTCTTGAATTTTGTCAACAAGTAATAAAATAAATATCTATATTAAAACAAAAAAACAACAATATATTCTCTATTTAGGCTTATCCATCACTTAATATTGGTAATATTGTTCGATTAGATACTATATTAACTTTTGAAAATTGGTGTGAATTAATATTACCAATTAATAAAAATGGTGATAATATTCATCGTTGTAAACAAGGTAGTGGTACTGAAGAACGAATACAACCATTTCGTTGTTTATATAAAAATTCTAAACGTGAAGAAATTATTTTACCAACAATTGATTGTTCAATTCATAGTATAATGGGTACAGGTGAATGTTTACGTGCTGAAAAATGGCAACAATTAGCATCAATTGAATGTGCTAATAAAAGTATGAATTTAAATAATTCAATAATGACACTTGATTGGTGTGGTTTATCATCATTTCATGGTATTGAATTTGTTTGTTGTCCAACAAATAAAATTGATGATAATGATTACGAAACAAGTCTTGATGAACAAGATAATAATAATAATAATAATATTGAAGATAATCCTATTCCAGAACCAATACAATCATCACATCGTCGAATTATAGCTATGGCACTTGCGTCACGTAAATAAACAAAACAAAAAAAACCTATATCAACATTCGAGTTTCTTTTTCTTTTTGATCTAGGTGAACCTAGTTGGATGGAAGATTATCGTCGATGGAATACAGATTCTGCATATTTTGCTGGTAATTTATATATATATTTCTATTTTTTTTTTCTATTTTTAAATATAGATGATGAAGATACTAATGATTATCAACCATCATCAATTCCAAAATCTGACGAAAATCAACGATTTGCAAAAGATAAAGAAGAATTTAAACGAAAATATAAAGAACAAATTGATCAAGTATTATATTGATTTTAAATATTTCTTTTTTTTTTTTGTTTTTAAATCTTTATTATATTTTTAGTTAAAATCTCGTTGGCAAATACGTCAAAATGAAATTCAATTATTAGCTAATCATAATATTACAGCAGCACAAAAACAATATGAAATAACTGAAATTCAATTTCGACAAGAATATGAAATTTTAAAACAATCAGCTAATCGAGAACGAACACGTATGAATGAATTACATGAAATACATTTAGATATTACACTTAATGAAATTAAAACTCAAGCAAATAAAAAATTACTTGATACATGGAACGAAAAACCACTTAAGGTATTAATAATATAAACAAAAAATATTATTAACTATTGATTATTACATCATCATTTACATATTCATCAACAGTTTGCTTATCTATCTAGCAGAAAGACACACACACACACACACAAAAAAAAAGGTCGATTGTATCTGTGTTATATATGTGAATATTTGACAAGCGAATGAAAGAAAGAAACATATGTTTATGAAATATGGATAGATTATTAATGATGATAGTGTTCATACTTGAGAATAGAAAAGGTTACTTATTAAGTACGTAAATGAACAAATATGATAGAACGGAAGAGAGAAAAAAGCGAACGTGTTTGTTGAACTGAATATCCGTTATGAAGTATATGTACTTGAGAATATGATACTTGTCGAATTGCTTTTTTCAACCTTCTATTCAATGGAGCGAGAGAAAAAAAAATTAATTTCTTCTATTCACATAGTAATCAAAGAAGAAGAAGGTATCCGGATTTCTTTTTTTTTTTTTTTGGAATGTTTCTAAGAGTTTCATTTTCTTTTTTATTATCAATTATAGACAGAAAATGTTGAAAAAGCACTTTATAATTATCTTCAAATTTTATTACGTGATCGTATACATCTTGTTAATCGTTATGAACGTTTACGTGCTGTTGATCCTGAACAAGCCGAACGTAAACGAATGTCTATTCATGAACGATTGCGTTTAATTGTTGACCGAATCAATGATGCATTAAATCAACTTCGACTATATCCAAAACTTCAATCAAAAATTCAACCTCGACTTGGTAAGAGAAAATAAAATCATTTTAAACCCATCAAAAAAGATCTATATGGATTATTTCAAATAAAAACGAGACACACATCTCGTCTTTCATTTGATTATAATTCTTGATAAGGATTATTTTTTTTCTCAATAAGTTCATTTAGAATAGACATATATAAAAATGTTGACTCTTTTCATGTTGACCTTTAATTAAAAAGTAATTAGCAAATATCTCTTTAATCATATGATTTTACCATTTGAAATTGGTTTTAATCTTGAACGTATTTTTCATTTGTATATTCATATTCTAACGTTTGAAAAATCTAGGCATAAAAAATTTTGAATAGAGATTTTGCACTATGGATAAAGATTTCTAGAGCTGATGAAGTCATATCCCTAATGAATGGATTTTATGTAATTAATTTTATTTTAGATACTCTCTTCTTTGAATATGATGAAGTTAATCATGCAGCTGAAAAATTATTAATTGATTATGCAGCTACATCATCAACAACAACAACAACAGCAACAACAACAACAACAACAACGAAGAAGAATCGTCTTTTACCATTAGGTCGTGATGAAAATAAAATCTATCCATTTTCAACATCTTCAACAACTAATTCATATGATAATAATGATGAATATGATTATGCTACAAATGATGAATATGATGAAGAAGATGATGAAATGGACAAAAAATCTTCAACATTATCAACAACTACTGGTGGTGATATTATAAATTATGATCAAATTGATGCTGGTGATAGTGATTGGGATATAAATAATGATGATACAGAATCAGTATTTGATATTAAAATTGATAATCAAAATCAACAAGCATTTATTAATGAAGTAAAATTCTCCTCTCCCTCCAAAAAAAGAAGTCTTATTTTTATTTTTTTCTAGAA